AGAGAGAGAGAGGGCTTTTATTAAGTGTCTTGTCTATGCTGAAGCTTTTCCAGTACTGTGCACCTGTTTCTACTGATCCAGCATCTGTACTGTTCCTTCCACTACAGACATCCGTATGTAAGAACATGGCCACAGGTTTTATTTCAAATATGTATTTAATTTTGTTTCGTGTGCCTTAATTTTCCAAAATGACATTTTTTGCTTGTGCATATCTGGCCTGGCTAATCACTGTCTTGGCCTGTCACCTAGTTATGTTCAGTATGTCCCACCTTGCACCAATTCCCACTTCATCCAGCAAGTAAGACAAAGAGAAAGATCACTGGAATGAAAATGAGGTGACCTAACTGATTGTGCTGCTCATGTTCTTCACTGGAGTCATACTAACATATTTCTAAGTATTGTTAGGGTGAAATATGATTGTGTGTGGTAATGAGTCGCTGGAATCCCTGCTACAAGAGAGCTTTAATCGCACTTTGTTGACTAGGTCAGGCCCTTATTTGCTAAACCTGTAGTCCTCTGCACATTTCTGACTGAGGACAGCCAATTTGGTAGATTGCTTTGAAGTTGTGTTTTTTTGTAATAGTCAACATTTTTTTTCAGGAGAAAGTGCATCCAGTGGTCACATCATATTCCTGGCTTCAGGATGAAGATTGGGTCACACCCTGGTGTGTGAACACAAAAATCAGTTTATCCAATATAAAATATGGTCTTACAAATAATTGAATAGATGGAAATAAATGTGCTCCTGCCCAGCTATGTAAGAAGTGGTCAGAAATCATAATCTGCTTAGTTTGTTGGCCTTGTTAATTAATCAGTCCCAAGGGAACCAAAGGAATAGATGAAGGAAATGATAAATCATCATCATGGTGTCAGATGCACACAGTTATTCCAGAGGCCTCTTCTCCCCATCCCTTACCCCGCCCCCCAAAATAAATAAATAAAAAAAATCTCTGATTGATCCTGCTTAGCTCAGGTCTCCCCCAACTTCTGCAGAGTAAATCAGTCACACACACAGCATGTGGGAACAATTTTCCCTACGTCACCTCATCCTCGAGTTTTATTGTCTGCCTCTTTTGTGTCGTAATTTCTGATTTCTAAAACACTCTTCCTCTGAAAATCACTACGAAGGTGATTGATGCTCCCTAATTACCTTCAATTTTCCCATCTTTTTTTAAGTGTGTGCCTGTAAGCCGACGTGGCCCAGCACACTAGAACACTTTCTCATTTTTTAAATAGTGCTTCACAGAAAGTTATATACAATTCATTTTCATTATAATAATGGTTTTGCCTTATCTTTAACTGCTTCTCATTAGGTAACTCCTGCCAGCCATAACTTTGCTTTCAATTAATGCTGCACACTGTGAAGTTAGAAACACCTACTTGTATGAACACTAACAGTGCAGAATGAGAATCATTTTATCTGCTGAGTGAACCATTTGTCTGAGGGAAGATTAAACTTGATTAGAAAGCTGCTTTTAAAAAGTATAAAAAAAACCCATTGAGCTTTGAATACATTTCTCCTTTCCCTAGGAAATAAGGAGATGCCAATGATGAAACTAGCAGGCTCTCTCCCTATTTACCAGCTTTTGAGGTCTTCATTAGCACAGGAGTGGTACTAGGGGTGTTCTGCACTCTAGGGGAAGCAGAACTAACCCCTAGTCTCACTCATCAGTCCTGTTGTATCTCCAAGAAAGCACGGTCCAGGATTTTAAAAAAATGACTTCCTAAAGCCGGATGCCCTGTTTTGCTATGTGACCACTGAGGAACTATCTGTGAAGCACCCAGCCCCTCACTGAACCCAATGAATTCAGCTGGGTGCTGAGCACCTCAGTAGGAAGGCTGCTCGTTTTTGTTAGCTGCCTGTCTAGGCTCTTGCATCCATGACTTGTGCTTACTTAAGAATACCTCGGTTTTCTAAAGCTCCAGTTCAAATTCCTGGAAAGGTCACTGCCTCCCCTGTGCAGTTGTTTCATTCTTCACATTGCCACCAAAAGAAAATGGCCTTCTGCAGGAGGCGACTTCCCTGTCAAGACTATTTTTGACATTTGTTTCCTGGTACCTACAGTGTCTGCTGAGATTTACATGCGGCCGACCCGCTTGCTAAACTGTAGGACCGAGCTCGCGTGACCCCTGTTTAAAGGATGTGTGAATAGGGAACGCGAAGGTGTGAGATGTTGAGGAAAGGAAAGTGGTGGCAATATTTGCCATTTCCTTTGGGTAAGCAGAAATACAAACCACAGTAAAAATTCAGGTTCACCAATGAAACTCTGTTTGCTTTAGGGGAGCACACAGTGCCGAACCTCATGCTGTTCTTTACTACCACATGTATTAATTTCCTTTGACCTGACATAGTGTCTCTCTGGGATATGGGTGGGGGCGTATTTCTACTTAATTTCTTGTGCTGTGGACTTAACATTTGAATAAATATCATAACTTAATGAAGTAATTAAGAGTCCAAATGAGCTAAGCTGACATTTAAAACTCAAGTATCAGTGTACATTCCTTCAGACATCTAGTGCTGTCAGATGGAGTAATGCTTGGTTTGTGCTTTTGGCCTCCATACAATAATGAGAGAAGCTTTTTGTATTATTTCAAAACTGCCGTTCTAATTAGACGTTAATGTTTAACACCTGCATTCTCAACAGAACTTTTACTGTAAACCCTATCAGCTAATGTCTACCAGCAAAAACTAAATGTTAATTTAATATGAATAACTTAGCCATCGGTCTAGACAAAGCTACGCGTGAGAAGAAAATAATTCTATTGTAAATTGAAATTTTTAAAAGATGGGAAGAGTTTATACCTCAATGCAATCTGCAAAGGTTCATTGATGGAAAACAGGGAGCAAAGGTCCCACAGACATTTCAAATCAATACCTATCATTTGGGTGCAAAAGCAAATGTATTTTCTTGTAGTATTTTGTGTTTATTATGTTAGAAAAGTGAAATATCACTGATTTATTTATGTATTTATTTATTTTACAACAAAACGATATACATAGGAGATGCCTGTGTGCTGGAGCTGCACTCCTCCTCTGCACCCTGTGTAGGGTGCTAGGGCCTGTAGCCATGAAGTTGTGGCCACCCATTGCCACCACCCTGCAAATTATAATGTAGAAAATGTTCAGATATTTGTTGCCACAGTCAGTAATTAATGCTGTGTATCGGGCTTTGAATGTTAGTTCTTAAGCTGCTAAACTCCATTTGGCATTAACATTACTTTTTGTGGAGCCTTCATAGTTGGCAGTTTCATAAATGTAGGAAGGTTTTTACTTGTTAAAATAGTTGCTCTTCTTGGTACATAATTTATTGCCTTGTTTCATATACTGAAACGTTCACCTGCACAAGAGTTTTCTCACCTGTACCTGGCACTGCAGGTATGCGAAGCTTGAAACTAACTTTTTGTTTAGGCCACACAGTCTTCACCCAACGGTGTTTCATAAACCAGTACTAGATTAGCTTTCATCTCTTCCTCTTCTGTCTTTGCAGGCACTACAAGGGCTCCCCGGGATGGGGAAGTCCCAGGGGTGGATTATAATTTCATTCCTGTTGAACAGTTTAAAGCACTGGAAGAAAGTGGAGCCCTGCTAGAAAGTGGAACATATGATGGTGAGTTGTGTAACTGGAACATAGACTTATCAGAGCAGCAATAAAGACCTGGAAGAATTTATTGCATCTCTAAAGTCCAGGCTGTTTGTCTCATCAGGGCACCTTGTACTCAGAGGTGACAAATGAATATAGCATTATTCTCCTCCACAGGTGAGAATGTCATCTCCATTTTCTAGATGGAGGAATTGTGGAGCAAAGTGGTTGCCTTGTTCAAGTTCCCACTTCATTTAGTGCTGGAGCCAGGCCTAGCCCGTAGGCATCCTACCCACCGGCCCAGTGTTTCATCCCTGTTACCTCCCGCTTCTTTTCCATATCTTCGTGCTTGTAAAACACTGAACGTCTGTACTCTGACTGTCAACAGCTATTCTCACAAAAAGTTATCACAAGTTTGTTTGTTTAACTGCATTCATTGTGCACATCTGTCTTTAAGTCACGAGCAGTGTGACACGTTGGCCATTTATCTTGGTCATTGTTAAGTACTGGAAAGTGTTTTGTTTTTTCTTCTGAGTTGGGGCATGCTTGCCACAAGTTGCCTCTGGGTGTACACATTGCTTTCTGACACCGCTCATGTGGCTCCTTCTGGATTGAGTAGCAGCAGTGTTTTTGATGACTCTGTCCTTATTTGTTAGGTCATTTTAACCCTTTGGTGCCATACCCTGGCCTTCCAGTACCTGACTGCCTTCTGAGCAGAGGAACTTTTCCAAGTTGTGGTGGCGCTCTCAGCCCACACTTCCAGAGTTCTCCAGGCCTTGGTGTAGGACTCAAGGCAGTCTGATCCACATGGGCCGTCCCGTCTGTCCAGGTAGCATCCTGGTGAGATCAGCAGGGTCTCAAGCTACGCAGAGTTAGAGCCTAAATTAGGAGATTGCCCAAACATGGGGAAGGCCTTTAACTAGCATCATACCTCTTGTGCTTGGGCATCATCAAAGTATTGTGCCAGGTCTCTCTATTCTAGATGGATGAAGTGTCTGCAGCCTCGCTTGTGTCCTGGTTTCCCCTCTCCCTACTGTGCTCAGTGTGTATTCCACCAGGAAAAGCCTAGCATGGCAGGGCCCCATGGGTAATTAATTCTGCTTACCCACGTGCATGGGCATGCACACACTGCCACGGATCTCAGCACTGCTGTCCGTCTTTTCTTCCAGCTGAGGCCTGACCCATGCTGAACAGAATGGTCCTATCCCCTCTTACACGTAGTACTCTTATCTTTGCTTTTTGTGATGATTGCATCACATTGATGGCGCATGTTGAGCCTGATCTACCAACACCCCTGATCCTGCTTAGCAGCACTGCTGTCTGGCCTGTCACTGTGTTCTGCATTTGGGCCAGATTCTCTACCACCTACTAGGCTCCTATGTCCATTTATGCACCTAAAGGCAAGTCTGTTTCACCCAGTTTCTGCAGACAGTTAGCATAAAAGATGAGTTCCATTGGATGCCCAAAAGATGGTTCTTCTTCCCTATATATAGCAGCTTACCTTAGTATGTTGCTGGTTCTTCAGCTTGTCGGAACCCATTTGAATTCTCATTCTGCCCTCCAAAGTGTCTGTAACCTTTCCCAGTTTTGTCTCATTTGCAGACTTGATCAGGAAACTGCCCATTCCTACGCTTGAACATCACTGGATGCAGAACTGACCTCTGTGGACAGTTCTTTTGTCAAGCCATTTATACTTACTCCTTGATTGTGCTTATTCAGGCAGTTATGCATCTGCTGAAGAAGAAATTCTGTCTAACCCACATTTCTCCTGTTTGCTTATGACAGTGTCTCGTGAGACTATATCAAAAACGTTACCGAAGTCCACTGCATTCTCTTCATTCACCAAAGGTTACTTAGTCAAAGAGGGTATCATGGGGGGCTGCCAGTGATCATCCCTTCCTTCTCTTCCTGTTTGCACATTGACTGTTCTGTGAGCACTCAAAGGATACCCCTAGCAGCTAAACCTAAACTGGTCGAGCCAAACCCAAGCTTTTGTCTTAACCTGATTCTGTGACTTGAGCCTGGCCCTCGCTGTTCTTTTAAGAGTCATTTCCCATGTCATGTTTTATACGTTGAAAGCAAATATAGCCACCAAATGTTAATCCAACAGGCTTTGTGTTCATTTCTCTAATGATAATAATGTGATTAATTAAGAGGCGCTCTCCACTTGTTCCAGATCTACTTCAGAGTGTTTATTTTATTGAAAAAAGCCCTGCTGAATCTTGTGACGTAGGCAAAATATTAAAATGAAAATGTGTTCTTTATCCTCAGGCAAAGTTCAGTATAGAATTGTGTTATTAATGTCTTTAATTTGCAAGCAAATTGTCAGATGAAGGTATAGGATAACAATTCTAAAAAATCAAGGCAGTTTTTGGGGGGGGGGGTTAAGTTGCTTTTGTGTAAATAGATATTTCATATTTCTGCATGTAATGATTTTTTTTTTTGGCTTCAACCTACCTCCAGGCTGCATGTTACCCCAGATTAACTAATTACTAAATGCTATGTGATTAGAATAGAATTTATTTTGATTTTCATCATTACCCTCCTCTCTACTCCTGGCTTATTCTGCCATAAGCCTTGTTCTGGATCATTAGTGAATGCAGGGTAAAATAACAAATCAGTCTTTTGATTTGGAAACCTGTGTAGAGCAGTCATCTGGAATTAAATGTATTATATGCAGCTGTACAATAGCAGCATTAACAAAAATATAGTGAAGCAGCATATTACAGTTTTCTGAGCATTCATTGCTGCTGATGATACTGATGCCTTATGAAGTGCAATAAGTGTCCTATTCATTCAGGTGTTTCACAAAGAACCACATTACAGTGACAACAGAATAGGTACAATAGCAGCAGAGACCTTGACCAGATATCAGTGCTTCTCATTATTACCATCTCTTCTTCAATACTAGGCAATTTCTATGGCACTCCAAAGCCTCCAGCAGAACCCAGTCCCTTTCAGCCAGACCCAGTGGATCAAGTTCTTTTTGACAATGAGTTTGACACAGAATCCCAGAGAAAGAGAACCACCTCAGTCAGCAAGATGCAACGAATGGACAGTTCTCTCCCTGAGGAAGAGGAGGAGGAGGAGAAGGAAACAGTTAATGGAAGCGGAGGGATAGGTCAGTAACAAAGGGAGCAATTCCCTGCAGTATTTCTGGAATGAATTAACTCAGCTGTGGCAGATGCCACAGCTTCAGTGGTGGTGGAGCCACAGTTTAGCCTTGCTTGAACTGCTCCTTCAGTGATTTCCCTGGACTCTGTAGTGCTGATTGCTTCTTAGCATCAGGGGGTTTTGTAGGCATATCATATTTTGCTTTATTTTGAAACTAAGTTTTATAGGCCCCAGCACACGTTCATGCAGTGGAGCAATGGGACCTGATCCGAGCAGTCGTGCCTCCTGCTGTGCCGCACATGCATGGCAAGGCCTGCAGCTTTGGCATTGGGGATCAGATCCCAATTGCACCATTACTTCTTGCCAGTGCAGGGGGAGCCCAGGATCATGTACCAGCAAATTGAAAGTTAGGTGTCCGCAGCAGGAGTAAATCAGTGCAGTTCCTGGGGTAGGACCAATGCTGGAGCCAGTTCTATTTTTTTTTTTTAAGGTCCCAGCGCACTTTTTTTTAAGGACCCCCAGGATCCAGAAGAGTTCCCCTGATCCCAAACCCTTGCACTTGAGACATCAGAAAATCATGTGTCCTGGCACACAGACCCTGGGATCATGGAACCGTCCCGTGAGCCCAGAATCCCTGTGGCTGGAATGTGACAAGTGCTTGGAGCTGCAGAGCAAGCCAGTCACCCTGCTGGGTCATGGGGAGCCCCTGGCTACAACCCAGCACCCTGGCTCAGCTGATGGGCTCTCCTCAACTCAGCACCCTGAAAGCAGCAGGCTGCAGCCTCATGCAGGACTGCACCACATGACTATCAGCCTCCAGACACAGGGGAGCAGGCAGCCAAGCCATGACATGCAGCCAGCATCAGGCTCCCCCCAGCCACGTGTTCAATTTAAGGCACAATGCAAACCAGCCACAAATGTATTACACACATTTTGTGGAATAATTTGATGGCTGTTTTTCCATTTCCTCATGCCATTAATTGCCTGAACATGTGGCCAGGTTACAGGTTAACAGATTACTCGCCTCTTAAGTGTAACATCTGCCAAGGGCCAAAAATAAGTAGCTGCTCTGTCGGCCAGATGTGCAGTGGCATTGTCAAATGGATATGCAGGCCACCGTGAGGGGCATAATGAATCTCAAAGAGGCAGAAACCGGTCACAGAAGGATGTATCAGCCAGCTGTGTGGAGCTGAAGGAAAAAATCTGTAAAGCAGTCCTGCAAGTCAGGGAATTGTGTGGGTTTAATAAGAATAAATCACACTCCAGTAAGTTGGTCATATCATTTGATAAAATTGCTGTGTTTGAATCCTCTATGAGGTATTTTATGCTGGTCCCTCACACTCGTGCTATGAAATGTTGGGATTTCACATGGACCCAAAAACTAACTGAAGGGATTTACACACCCAGTGGTGCTAAGGAGCAGTGCATTGGGCCTAGAGCAGAGCATCCACTGAGGTGCTGCAGAGATTGACACAATGCCTCGTTCTCATTAACCTCGTTACTACTGATCCCCACTGGTGCAACCTGCACAGCCAGTTTGCAGATGATGCCGCATCTCCACAGTCCTTGGAGTTCTCCTTTTTAAGTGCTAGCCTGGCCTATCGCTGCTTAGCTGCAAAGCTGAGAATCACTGTGCAAAGTGGCCAGGCGAGAGGCCACAATCATTTGTCACACATGTAATCATGAAACTGAGGTTGTTGATGTGGGTGTGGAAACTAAGGTGCTTAAATTGTTATTACTTAGAGCCTTGCTTGCCTTGCCAGTTTGGTTCTCACACCATGTCTGGGTATGTGGAGAATGATGATGGGATGGATTCTCTAATGGGTAGCACAAATGCTCTTCTCTCGGCTAGGAAATGCAATGAAATAGTCTACCTGGACTTGCTCCAGTGTTGATTTTTCAGCCTAAGCTCAGACAAACAGTGCAAGGCTAATGCTGCTTGGCACAGGAAGAGCAGAACTCAATGTGTTCATGTCTGTTTTTTAAAGTTAGTAAAAGAAAAATATAGATAAAGTATGGGTGGGGGGGGAGAGGGCTTGGCACGAACTCAGAACTAGAGTGAGAGAGCGGTTCTTTGTGAGCAGAGCAGCATGGAAATCTGACAGGCTGCGACGCTGTCCTTTGAACGATTGCAGAAAACAAAGAGAAACATTCGGATTCTTCCGACTGGATGAAGCCTGTTCCTAGTTACAACCAGACAAGCAGCTCCATGGATTTCAGGAATTACTTGGCACGGGATGAGACTCTGGAGCCTCTCCCTAAGAACTGGGAGATGGCCTACACGGACACTGGCATGATCTACTTCATCGAGTGAGTAGAAGCTTGTATCAGCATGGATTGAATTCCCTCTCCCAGACTCACAAGACCTGGTTATTTCTGGAGATTTCTGCTTGTTTTATAGAACCTCTTCCCTGCCCATGTTTATTGATGATCTTTTCTGTGCAAAAACAAGATCTGTCTTGCTTTGAAGGCTCACGTGCTCCTGCTGTGTATTCCTCTCTGAATGTCACCAGCCCTGTGTGTTTGATTTCAGAGAGGCTCCCATCGAGGTAATTATAATGTCACACGGTGACGTCAGCTGAGGAATAGGCTACAGAAGCGAGAAAAACTTCAAAGCAGCCTTTCTCCGTTTTCATCCCAGCAGCTTTCCCTATCTGTCAGCAGCATAGGTGGATACTCAAACAAGTATCTTGGCTGTCACACTTGGGGACTCCATTGTCAGGTTTTGTTGTGTAATTTTTCTTGTCTGCATAATGCAGATGAGGAGACAGTTCATGTAAATACAAGTAGTGTGATACTGTCAAGTGTGTCTGTATGAATTCATTTGTCAGGAGAGCGTCACCGTTCCATAGGCAAACTCAGTTGTTTATGTTGTGTGTTATACGTATGACGTGCGGTACAAAGCTGGGGTTGTGCATTGTTAGCTGGATAAGTATCTAATTTTATGTATGCTTTTACTTTGCGCTCTTCCTCTGGAGTCGGGGGGATTTTGCTTATCCTTTCTGCTCTACATGCAAGCCTCTTTTGAAATGGAATGTGTGTTTTGTTTCATCTTGTTTTTTTAAATCAAGATGCTCGTGGAATGGGTAGGAGCCTGTTCCATGAATTTTAAAGTACAGTACCAGACTCCACTGAGGCGTAAATATATGCAGAAGGTAAAGGACTTTTTCTCCAGGTAAAAGTATCTGATATCCCCAACATGATATGTTTGTCAGAGCTTTTGACATAAAGTTCTGAAAGACCTTGTTATGCTGTGTGAGCTAGCAAAGAAGTATTTTCTGTTGAGGACTTTGTGCTTAGACTCTTATTTAATGCACGTTTACAGGGCAGAGCTAGAAATCCCTGAATAACTGGGGGTGTTCTGGCAGCATCAGCAGACCTGATCTAAAGCACCATTTTTGGATGCAGCTATAACGTTTAGGAGCTGGTGCTCTTTATCTTGGAGTTAACATATGTATCTCATGATCCTGTCATTGTGCTGATAACTTCTTCTCATGGAAGAGTAAAATCACTGATCTTGCCAAATCACTGGCAGTTTCTTACACGTTTTGGGTCAGAGTGCATTCTCTCTGCACTCGTGCAGTTGTGAATTTTCAAAGTTTTTGGGGGACAACTTAAGTTAATTTTTTATGCAGGCTTCATTTTTTATGCCTAGCTTGTTTTCGCCAGGACTCTGCAAAAATATTTTCATGATTGTCCTGTTCCAGGGGTGGTATTTAGCACCTTACCCAAGAGCATGCACTTTTTGCTGTCTGTATTAATTTTTTAAAACCCAGCTGTTCAGCAGAGGTGCCGTGGATCTCTTCTGATGAGAACAAGAAGGGACTTGTTTGTTCAGTGTGTGTTTGTCGCTGGGTCTGTTTGTTCTGTGCTGAGCTTACACATCCACCCACGCAGTGCCACAGAGCCACCAAATTCTTCTGCGTATGTGAGGTGCGCTGAACACGGGGATACGAAATATTTTTTGACAGCTGTAACCTAGGTTTGCTTCACTCCCAGCAGATCTGCTATTTTTATATTGAAACTGCATATACCACAGTTGTGAACACAGTTTTGAAATAATTTTGACTGCAGACTAATGTTTGCGCCTTTAACCTCCCCTGTCATGGCTGTACAGAACAGCTGCCAGTATACTAGTACTTGTGACACTTCAGTGTCACCTCTCTGAAATGGTGTTTTTGGATGTGATGGGGGTGAGAACAGTCAGTTTGCTGAGCCAGAGGCAAGGATTTGTACACACAAGCAAACTTCTGAAGAGGAGTGCTAACTACAACAAGCGAATCCTTTCCTTGGGAATTTTTTCCTCTTTCTTCTTCTGTCTCTTATTGCTTTTTTTTTTCCTGATTGGAATGTCCTTTATCCCATAGCCATAACACCAAGACAACCACCTGGCTTGATCCACGGCTCTGTAAGAAAGCCAAAGCTCCAGAAGACTGTGAGGATGGAGGTGAGTTGTACAGCACCTTCTCTTCTATACTCCGTGCTTGCATGTCCGAGTTTCACGACTTCATCCTTGTGATAACATGTGAACAGGAGAATTTATGAAAGCGCTGAACCCAGCTCTGGGTAAAGGATTAGTTTCAAAGACTTTCTTTGCTGGTAAGGGGTAACCAGGCAGTTCAGCCTAAAACAGGGATGTACTTATGTTCTTGTTCCAAAGTCTAGCTCTTCTGAAAACAAATAAATAGAATTCCCAAAGTATCAGTTGCATTTACTGATTTATGGATCAAAACTAGTCCTGTGCAACAGAAACTGAAGATTCAGTCACTTTGACTTCACTCCCAGAGGGACGGACTGTCTGCGGGGTATGCCAGGGATGCATCCTTGAGCACTTTAGAGCGTCTTTCCCTTATCTATATTACATTTTATGTGAAGTTCCATATCTATGGGTATCCAATCACTTCCTAAAAAATCTCTGTATGGGTTGGGCTGTCTCAGTCAGGGCGTGGTAGGCAATGGTTGGGCTCTATGCTTTGGATGCGGAGCAGCCAGATGAGAGAGAGGGTTTTATGATATTAGTGAGTTCAGGATCTCTGAAGCCATTCCACATTTTAAGCTTCAGTGCCTTATTTCTGTTGAGATTTGAAGCCCCAAAGCATAGCACAGTGTATAATTAAGATAAACGTCTATGCTAGCACATTCAAAATAATTAGTCTCTTTTATGTATATTTGAAAATAAGCGTTTTAAGGAAAGCCTTGAACCTTTCTGTTGTCCTGCTGCCATCTCAAACCCTGTCTGAGTTAATTTGACTTAAATATGTTTCTGTTTCTATTTGTTTTCATGTGGATAATCAGTCAACAAAAGCACTAGTCTTTGTGGAAATGTATGAATTCATTTTGCTTAAGCTATTCCACGTCTTCTGTGGTGGCAGAGCTTCCATCAAATAAAGCTCGACGTGGGCTGAACATTGACATAGTTCTGCTACTTTGTGCAGCAGCAAAACCTCTGAAAGCCATAATCGAAGCAGGGTTCCCTGATAAGGGAGTGATTGTCAGCCATGCTGTTTTTCCCAGCAAAATCCTGTCAGTTAAAAGGAAAGGAGAATAAATGCCAAACTTCAGGACCAATCGAGCTACCTCATTTGCAGTGTCTCAGGGCTACAGAGATTGTGTTGTTGAATAAAATGTAACTAGCAACTGGAGCTTTCCTTCCACAAAAGGATGCCACACACTGCTGGGGCTGGTACCAAAGGAAGGGGAAGAGTTGTCCATTTGAGTTGTGTGGACAACCTTGGATTCAGCCTGACCTATGCAATGCCACAGCTCCTGATTCTCAGGCAAGGAGTACTCTGCTCCTGACCCCTCGGTGTGCCACCAGCTGCAGCTTTCCCACTGATCACACCTGCTGGGTGAGCCAGAGGGAGCACGCCTGTCTTCAGGAGCATTGGCCTAGCCTGTTCACAACAGTCAAGATAAGTCGTCTAGAAATTGTGTGTTGGCAGATCATGCTGATACCAACAGCATCTGTTACTTTCTTGCTTTGCTGTAGATTCCGGCCTCCTCCATTGCCTTGGTTTTCTCTGTTAATGTAGAACGCTTGATTCCTCTGACAGCGTCCCACACCAAGTCCAAGAGGCTTTTGCTCTTGCTTTCCAGTCCTCTTGTACCCAGGCTGGCTTTTTAAAATTAATATAGTCAGCATCAGCTCTGATACAGGAGGCTGATCCACTGAACTAGATCTAGAGGAGACTGGGCAGGCACCTGGCTGGCGTCTTATGACCCCTGCCACCCCCAGTGCTCCTTCCTGCCCATGGCGGGGGGTCGGACTGGATGATCTGTCTAGGGCCCTCCCGACTCGTTGGTTCTATGATTCTATGAACTAACAAGCAGGCAGGAGATACCTGAGGGTGACCGTCTGCCACAGTACATGACCATTTAGGGGGTGTAGAGGAGCTGGCCTGTGTTTATTACTGTGTACCTCTTGCGTCAGGACTTGCACACTGTGACTCTGAGCTGTAAGAACATTTGCAGTGATCAGCCTCTGGGCAAATCCTGCAGACAGTTGCAAGCCAGTGAAGCGGTTTATACAGCCAATGAAAGAAAAGTGTTCTGCAAAGCTTGGTCTGCAGCAAATGAATGTCTCCTCTGTCACAAGAGTCTACAAGGTCTGGGATGAGCCTGAAACAGCCTGTCGTCCTCCTGACTTGGGCAGCCTGACAGCTGTCTGTTCATAACGAGGCCTGGCTGGAGCAGCTGCCTCATAGTGCTGTTTATTAAACCTATGTAAAGCCCACCACAGGCTAAAAAGGGCATTTTAAAGAGAGATGCAGGGTGACCTGGTGAACAGCACGTAAGTGGATAGCGCGCTGGGTTATTTATCGAATTTTGCTGAGCTGTGCTGATATGAATAATTGGTAACATGCTGTCACTCGTTGAGCCTAGGGCAGCCACAAGCAACAAACAGAATCATTATGTGGAGATGTTATCCCTCAGAACAACACAGCCATCTCGGAGGGAAAAAGGCAACTTGCCTCCGAGGTGGGGATGGCTGACCCGTGGACATGTGCCACAAGTGGTGCAGGCAGCTGCTGTGTGAGGCGCGTGTGCCCTGGGCACTCAGTAAAGGGCGGCACCGATAATGGTGATGCTTATGGGGGTGCTGTGTGCGGGAAGCTTGCACAGCCCCTCTCCACATGGCCATTCAGCCCCAGGCAGTGCTGTTGCACATTAGCACGCAGGCAGTTAAAAGTGAAGCTCCATAAATGAACATTGGTAGTGTAAGAGCCATGTGGTGCGACAGGCAAGGCTTTCCGAGAGTCATCTGTTCTGTTGGACCAGCTCTGGGATAAGCTCGGACAAACTTTCACATGCAAGACATTCTTCCTCAGGTCCCTGATCCCAGGAGGACAGGCGTAGCATGGTGAGAAATAGCAGAGGGGAGGCCTGAGAGGGATTCTCAGAGGCAGGAGATGTGCAATTAGCAGAAGAGAAGCAGCTGATTACTGGGAGATCAAGGCCTATCGTGAGGGAGGAGGGTCCTTGTTACCTTTCTTGCATGGAAAGAATTCAGGAGCTGGATAAAACCCAATGTGCTATAGACCCAATATCAGTGTTTAGTCCTTGGTCTGCGTGTCCAGCCAGCTTATGAATTTTTGTTCCCAAGCTCCTAATGACCCTCAGCCTAAGAAATCCTTGCCTCTCGAGTGAACATAGTAATTTATAACGGGGTGGATCTGGTGAAATGAGCCTTCTACTTCCTTTACTGTAGGTGCCTGTGTGTCCGTCCTGCTCTGAAGTTTATTAAAACTTAAAACAGTTTTTAAAAAAATATCTGTCTCCCCTCTGATGAACCACTGAGTTATAGGAAGCGATTTCCCTCTGGGAATGCAAGCACTCTGCTCATCAGACAGGCCAGTCTCAAACATTTAAAGAAACCCGGAAGACATAAATTGCATTTATATTTCCGGCACAGTCGATCCATAATCTCTCCACTCGTTTCTCCACGTGAACTCTGACATTCTCAAATGCTTTTCCATTATAGTGCAGAATTTTGTTCATTCTTCTGTTCTAATTACAGAACTGCCTTATGGTTGGGAGAAAATAGAAGACCCTCAGTATGGAACGTACTATGTTGAGTAAGTGCCTACAGTAATTATTCATTTGATAGTCATCGCATTTAGCAGAGAACAGTGAAACAGTTGATATGTAATAAATGTAAATTGGCATGCATCTTGTTTAAGGGCTGTACAGATCCAGTGTAAAATAAGGGCCAATTCTGGAGGCCACGAGTAAATTGTGCCCCATGCTTAAGCACTGATGTGCACGATGATGCGCATCCATAGATCTTCCAGATGGGCGGAAGCAAGTAACAGCCATAGTAGTTAACACTAGCAATGGACTGAGAACCACAGAACAGCCTGTGCAGCAGTTGGGTCCACTTTGCTTCTGCCCACAAAAAGTCATGTGCCTTTTGCTTTTATAACAAATACAGTGGTTTATTACAGCAGTAACTTAATGACTGTCCAGATGGGTGACTCTCTTACAGTTTATAATGCTGAGTGCAGCATACTAGTAGATAGCTTTATTCCCAGGCTGCTCTAGTTTTGAGTCATTAGCATAATAATTCTCAGAGGTGAATTAGTGGTGAAGGTAAAGGTCTACTACTTGAATGGTTGTTTCATAGAGCTTTTACTTGCCAATGCATATGGCTTCTTATTGCTACTGGCAGCGACACCCATCAGTGTTTCTGACTTGTGAAGGAGCCTGACTGAAAAATTGAGATTGAGGATGAATATCTTTGATTAAAAGGAAGAATCAGACTTGAGTCAGCACAGATTTCTGACCCTTCAGAGTAACACGACAATGTCTATAGAATTGTAGTTGCTAGAAGTCAATGCGACCCCCAACCTTCCTAGTTCCGTATTTTGCTGCTTCATAAAGCAGTTGTTGTTGAGCCACAATATTCCCAGTGCCTAAAGAGAAATCATTTGCTTCACTAACTCGTAATGGGTCAGTAATTGGGTTTTCTGGAATTAGTTCCACATCATCTTTTGGCATGCTCAAATCTTTATGGATGAAAATCAGAAAAAAGGGACATAACCGGAGTTCTGCATTCATTCACATGCAGGGTAGAAAAGACTCACACCTGCTGTTACGTATTTATGTGCTTAATCCTGATTTTAACAAGGTTAGCATTGTGTACGGTGGCCTTTGTCAGCTGAAGGAATAATTTAGGGATTTGTGTTTTGGAGGAAGCTGCTGTATTGGATTTCTTTGCTTGGGAAGTAAATCTTAGCTGATTACCTCTCCTCTTATATGAACTTGACATAACTGCTCCTCTTGCCTATTCTAGCGTGATAGGCAGTCTCCCGGGGAATAAGGGAAAACTGGATGACTGCATCCTGAACAAGGAACCAAAGGGGGAAATATCCTGACACCTGAGAACTGTGCTACAAAACACAACCCAAGGCAAAACTGCACAGTTTCCTTCAGAGTTCATATTTCATAGGCAGAAATAGTTGATCTGCTGAGGCAAACAATTCAGCCAAAAGAGAGCATGAAAATTGGTGAGAAACGCCATTTTTGGAAAAACCTGAAATGCAGTTTTTCCTCTGCTGTGCCTCGTTCAGGAGTATCTACAGGCAAAAATGATCTTTTGCTTTGTGAGGCTAATCTAAAAACTTTTTGCTAAGTTATGATGTCTTTTGTTGTTAAAAGTCTTTTAAAAATGCTTTAGTATGGCTGAGGAAGAAAAGCAACAAAAAAATATGATCGCAAGCTAAGCCCAGATTGGGTTTTTTTGTGTTTATAAGGGCTTTTGCATTCCTGGGTGTCTTATGCTGCATTAAAAGTCCTTCAGCATTTCAAATGGAAAGGACTGAAAAAGTTATTTTTCAGATAATCTTCAGTTGTGAAATCAGAAATTGATAATCCACCATCACTGATGCTCTTCTCCAAATGCTGCTTGGAAATTACTTGGAGATGGCTGCATGTGTATCTTACCTGTCCAAACTGATTTCCTTGCCAAATTCAGCAGCAAATAAGTGGCATGCAAGTAGTATGATCGGCTGGAAAATTTAAAACATCTACCGGCATTCTGAATAACGTGTGCAGCAAGAAGCCAAAATAATGCTGCTTCATTGCACCAGCTCCTGTACATGAGCTAGTTTTTTTAATCATTGCTGCAGAAGAGTCTCTGGTTTAAGAAATGTCTTTGTCAAAGGTTCTCTGAAAGCTTTACAGGAGAAGTGGAACAAACATTACTGCAGTCCGCCATGCTGCTGAAGTTATCTGGAGTGAAGTTACCAGGGTTAGCTACTTGATCTTCTGAAACCCTTTTTCTTTCTGTTTAGAAAGAAAACTCACTCAAGCACATATATTTGTTTTGCTTTCTAAGCACAGCCTCTGAGCACTCTTGTTCTTGAAGCAGGAATGGGGAACTGGCCGGCCTTTTTGATCCCCTTTAAAAGTCATTAGGCAGAAGAAATGCTCAAATTATTCCAGCCAGCTCAGAAGTAACCCATGTAGCTGATCCCACCTGGGACCAGAATGGCTTCAGAAATTAAAAGCCAGGTAGGAGGCCTCTTTGTTCTTAGGGACCTACCGGAGGCAAAGGCTGGACCCAAAATGGGTTATTTCCTCCTCCCCTATTTGTTTGGAACAAGAATAAAGCAGAAGGTCAGCCGTTCTCTGCTCACAGCTGCCGCTGGGTCTCGAGAACGGGTGCTTTGTGAACACGTCGTTGGGAAGAGGCTACGAGGTGACTGACCAGCACTTGTGGCTTTTGTTCTTCTGGAACTGCTGCATGGAGCGACCTCGGTCAAGTCGCATAACCTCTCTGTCCCTTTACAACCCTTTGTGAATGGATACAACAGCATTGACCTGTACCTAAGGGGGTGGGGGCTTATGGGATCCAGTCTGACAGCTTTCTTAATATATTACTGTTCACTTTACATTTTTATCCTGTATGTTTTAAAGAAACTGCTCTTCAAAGGTAGTGGGAATTAAAGGCTTTAATGTATGTTGTGTGTAGGTAATGCAAGTCATAATGGATGGTTAATGAAGGGGAAGACTTCAAGGTAAAACACGGGTCCTGCCCAGGAGGCTGTGAAATGATTGTCAAAGCATGTTCACCATTTTCTGGCGTGGAGAGACAAAAGCACAGAATAGCAATTTGGCAAAAGGAAGAGCTTGTATTCAGCTCCAGTTATTGCCAGACATAAATTACAGATCTCCCATTAAATGGACACCAGTGTCTAAAAAACACTTATTTTAAGGTACTTACCTTTATAATGAGACCTGAAGGTGAAATTCTGTCCTTGGATGCGCGCACACAGGCCCTGTATATGAATAACCAATAACCAAGTGTGGATCAAGTTCTTAATACTGAAAGAACTACAAGGCTGGGATTTTCAAAGACATCTGAGGGAGTGAGGTGTCCAAATCCCACTAAATTTAACTTTCCTCCGGCTTCTTTGACGAACCAAACTCAAATCTAATTTGCTTTTCATCATTTGTGCAGTTTGGTTTTTGTGCTTCTTTCAGCTTTGGACAGAGATTTGACCGGTCCATATCAAATCAGTCTCATTTTCTAGTGATCTGCCCTAGCACTGGGATATGTGGAGTGCAAGTTCTGCAAGGGGAGGCTTCATTTAAAATGTGTGAACTGATTAATTTAAGTAATGTGTGTTCATTGTTATTGCAGCGTAGTTACTTGAAGTGACTGTCCATTTTTACTTCTACAGAATCTAAATTTACACTTTTTATTACCTGGCAGTACCTACAATAATATACTAGGAAAGTTGATAATTTTGCAATTCTTAGTTTATGCTCATAGGTGTTAATTTTTCTGAATGTGTAGTTAAAGGTATAGACTTCCATTCCTTCACTTTCCCTGCCCCCCAGAAAAGCCAGAACCATGCTAAGCTGGTAATGAGCAGGGAGATCCCACATAATGGGACTCTTCAGAAACTCTGTCTGGAAGCTTGATTAATCTTCTCAAGAACTGCAAGCTGCAGCTGAATCAAGAGGAAGGCAGGCGTGCACTGCTGAGATTGCATATCCTTGTCTTCTTGTTAACTGTGCAAAGCAGTTAATGCTCACACAGTCAATTGAAAGCAAATTGGATGCTGCCATTGCTTGAACTGTTGTGTGCAGGTTTGAGTTTGGGTTCATCCCATCTACAGACAAACAATAATCCCATGCTCCCAAGAAGCTTTAAGACCTGACTTAGCTGGGCTCTTACAGTTGTGTCTTTCTGTTTTCTGCATTCCATATTAAAATGCATCCAACTCAAAACTTTTGTAAAAGAAAATGGAATTTACTGAATAGCATGTCTCTTGGCTGAAATACATGATGTAAAGGCTCTTGAAGTATAAGAACATGACTGACTTTGCTTCTACAGGCATCTTATAGGAACTAAAAACTCAAGGGCTTTGAAAAGTAAATCAAAGCATCAGGATAAAAAAAATAACTGGCATAATACTTTTAATGCTGAAATTCTAACATAACATTTGTGTATTTTACAGTCACATTAACCAGAAAACCCAGTTTGAAAATCCAGTGTTGGAAGCCAAAAGGAAAAAACAGCTAGGACAGACTGACGTTGGCCATTCTAAACCAGGTATTATTTGAGAGAGCTGCTCTTCACCACTGTTTGCTGTAAAGTACATGGAAAGCAGTCTCGAGCATGAAGTTTTATGCCTGTGTCAATTTGCGTAGACCTCTCTGTTGTCTTTTTGACACTAATGTAAATATTCACGGTAGCATTTTGTGATCCTGATCACTAGCAGAATAACAGTTTCACTACACCAATGTGCTTTGATATCAGGACTACAAAGGTTAAACTAAGGAAATACAATCCAAGTGAAACTACTGTAAAGTGGCCGCATAACTTCCGCATTATCATTCTCAAGAGGAGTCATCCATAGCATGATGCCTACCTGAGAGAAGGTCTCCAGTGGATCTCCCCAAGGGTCCGTCCTGGGTCTGGTACTGTTCAGTATCTTCGTTAATCATACAGTGGGTGGAATCAAATACACCCTTCCTAAATTTGCCTGTTGAACTGTAGTAGGCTGAGGACAGCTGGGACAGACCAGTCAAATGCACAGTGTACATTGAGAGAGAGGAGGTGAGGCTGCTGTACTCCAAAAAGGACCTGGGGTTGTGGCAAACCGCAAACTGAACACAGCTCAGTGTGCTATTGTAGAAAAAAAGAAAAAAAAAACCCTCTAAAAAAAAGCCAATAGCATATATTGGCCAGTATTAGCAGAGGGGTTGCAAGTCTCAAGAAGTGATTCTTCACTCTATTCAGCTTGGGTAAGGTTTCACCTTACACATACCCTGTCCAGATCTGGGCATCGTACTTCACAAAAGGCATGGGCAAATTAAAACGTCCAGCAGGAAGCAAGAAAAATATTAGAGGTCTAAGAAATATGACTTATGAAGAAAGGTTAGAAGAACTGAGGTTATTTAGTCCGGAGAAAAGGAGGATATGGGAAGGGATTTGATAAGAGTCTTCATATAAATAAAGGGTGATTATGAAGAGGATGATGATGAACTCTGTGTGTCCACGTGGAACAGGACAAGAAGCAGTGGTCCTAAATTACAAGGGGAGCTCACTTGGATATTAAAGTATCTAAGTCATGAGAGTCATTAAGTGCTAGCACAAGTTACTGAGAGAGGCTGCAGAATCGCTATAATTGGAAGTCTGTAAGTGCATGGTGAGCGCTTTGGGGCTGTTGAGACAGGTCTGATTCTGCTTTGACCTGATTCTGCAGGGCTTGGATTACATGACTTCCTGAGGTCCTTCCAGCCCTACATTTTTCTACAATACTGTGATTTAAAAAAAATTAACATTACTGTCATTTTGGATGCTTAATTCTGCAAACTTAATGCTACTTAAATTGAAGTTGGTAGCTTTTTGCAGGCTAGCTTACTGGCCGTACAGTAGACACTAGTCAGTTTGTACCTGGCAGTCATCATTTAGAAAACAGTAGACTTGACAGGCTGCATTTGGTCAACTCTGCTAGTGCCTGCTAGTACTGTGGATGGGATAAGCAGCTCTGTGTGTACGTTGTGTGATGGTAAGTATGGAGTCTGAGAAGTCTATGGCAGTACAAGCTCATCCTGCCACTGACCAGTCCATTCATTGTCCTCCAAAGTGTGGGGGATTTGGAGTGGTTTTTGCAGTTGGAATTGACCTGAGACCTCAAGGCTTCTTAAGCAGCATAAAACATCTTGAAGCCTGTTGTCTTCTGCAGCTCAAATATCCATAAGCTACAGCTTGGGGGATGTGGGGGGTGAAAGCTTCAGCTCTGCGACTGGCCGCTTTGTGACCTGCCCGAAAGATCGAACCTCCCTGTTCCTGTAACCTAGCTGTTGGTTGGAGTTGCTGATCATGGCCTACTCCACAGGGTGCTGCAAGGGTTGCCCTATATTTGAGTATGTAAAACCGAATGTAATTACCTCCAGTATTCCTGTGGTCATCTGTGTACACATGCCATGCTTGAGGGAATGCGGATGTGCTTTGGAGGGATTGCTGTGTTCTTCAGCATGCAATTCTCACTTGCTCCAAACAAATCAAAAGTATGTTTTTAACGCAAGCAATGGCACAGAATTTCTCCACTGGCTTTAGCCGGCCACCATTTCAAAACAGTGTTGGATTTGTTACAGGAAGCGTAGTGTTTTTCACTCGAATAATTCAGAAATTGCAGGAGGGGTTTAGTTCAACGTTAGAACACCCCGTTGCACCCCACTCTGTTTCACAACCCAACGTGCATTCACAGTCACCTTGTTTGGTATTTGCTGTAGCTGCCTGCATTTACTAGCAGGGTCACTTCCTAGCAGCATTGCTGTTGACAGTGTGTGGAATTGTTTTTGTGCAGAACCAGACAAGTCCGCCTTCACTAGAGACCCAGCCCAGCTCACAGGAGCTCTCATACGGACATCGTTGAAGAAAAGTGCTATGGGATTTGGCTTTACGATCATTGGTGGGGACAGACCTGATGAGTTCTTGCAAGTGAAGAATGTGCTGAAAGATGGACCTGCTGCACAGGATGGGAAGATGGCACCAGGTGACTTTACATTTCTCTACACTTCATTTCATCCCTGTTGCTTGGCAAAGAGAGGGGGGCCCTGGGGAGTCCAGTGATTCCATCCACGGGCATTCATTGTGAAGCAGGTCCCCAGCACTCTACTTTATCAGACCATAAATCAATGTCTGAAGCCCTGACATGGAATAACAGTAAATGTTTTAATATAGATCCAAGTTTAGGACATTTCTGGAGAGTTCATTGGCTCGGTGTACTGCAGATATTCAGGTACACGTTACAGAATACTGCTGTCACAGATAGTGTCCGCCTGAGCCCCAGGCAGCAGATGGCCTAATCAAACACCATTCTCAGGCGGGTGCAGCAGAGCAAGGTACAGTGGGAGTCAGAAGGCGCAAATATTGTGTTGTAATCATCCTTTGACCTGTGTGAAGCAATCCAAAGGTAAAACCTAGCTTCAGTAGCTTGGCACAGATACCAGTTGCCCTTTACAGGGTTTGTTCTGTGAGCCCTGCCTGGTTATTTAGCTGTTACTAATAAAACTGGTGCCACTTAAGAGCTGAATTTGTGCTGTTATCTTTTTTGAGATTGAACAGGGTCCAGGTTCTGGATGTTGAGATGGTGTTTAGTATTATAGCATTCCCAAGATCAATTTAAGTGCTATCCATCGAAATGGATCTAAAGCAGTTTTCCTGTTTCCTCGGATGGCTTTAACATCATATTGAGCTGGCTTCTTAAACTGTTCTGGTTTGCTTTCTGTAGTTCTTACTCTCATATATAAGTTGCCTCTGTCACTGCTGAGGTGTCAGCGTGACCCTGCCTCTGTTTGGTATCAGTTTGATTTGCTTCAACGTCGACTATACACAGATTGATTTGTGCATGTTGACTTTCTACACCTCTACACTTGCTTACGGTTCCTGTAGAGTCTGGTCTCTAAATAAGATGTGGTGTTCTACCTTGTATTGAATGCACAGTTTTTCTCATTTTAATGCATTAATGCTTTCTAAGCTTTCCATTTCCTGCACAAAATTGTAATGGCCTTAGGGAAAGAGCATGTGTGAAAGATCCAGTTGGCACCAGGACATCAGTTTTTCCTCTAGCAGTGACCTGTTTTCTTAAGAATCTAGTTTTACACTTGTTTGTTGGAAGAGGCTTGAGCAGATTCAGATACCCAGTGACTGCCATCGGCTGGAGCCGTCGCTCTTTCTACTAATTGTGCCTGGCCTTTGAGCCTCAGCCTGTTGATGCTGACCTCAGGAGGCTTGGTCAATGAGGGACCAGCTTCACACCGCTGCTGCTCACTGTGAACTGCTGTTCAAGTTTACCAGGTTGCCAGAACTGCCCCAAGTAGTTCTCAGTGTTAAGAAACAAAGCAAAAACCCCAACCAGACACATTTAACGTTGTGGGACAGCCCCTTGTTTCTGCTGCATTTTTTGTCTTGAAATTTTTGCGCATTTCATGCATCATCAGGTTCTTTGTTTGTTTTGTCCCCACCTGTTTGAACAGAAGAGAGAAGCGAAACCATTTAGCCGGGGTCATCCACTGGGTCCATGGCAGAGACTGCCAGCCCCTGGGAGACGGGGCGAGACTACCAGTCCCATTCTAATCATTCACAGCTGGTCCTTGATTCCCCAAAGACAGCATTGTCCCCTGGCCCAGAAAAGTACATCCCCTGTGCTGCTGCTACCTGAAATGCAAGACCACAGACCACATTTCATTTTCATAGCAGAGTGACACTCCCATCTTGGAGGCTCTAAATGGGCAGGCGAGGGCTTTTGCTGAGTGTTTGGAAGCAATGCCTACACTCTAGCAAAGCGACTTTGCTGTCTCGGTGGCCTTCCCTTTGTTAATAGTTCCACGCATGGCTGGTGAGCTACATGGCACAAGTGCTACCTGTCGGTTATTCCTAACCAGCCCTGGCGAGGCAGGGGTCCAGCAGGGACTGTGCGTGTAGCACAATTCAGCAACACTTCTGATGAGAGCAGTTTCTGCACAGCATGTGCAATAAAGGCTTGTGGTTCTGGCTGATCACACACGGTGCTCTGCTGCATTTCAAGTGGCTTAGCAAGCACTTCCTGCATGTGGGGATAGCACCCTGCAGTATTTGCGAGGATTGTGTGCATCTGCATGTCTTTAATGTGCCCAGCACTGTGCCAGGGGTTCTTGTGAACTAAGAGCTGTAGTGTTACGGGCATCCCAGCTGAATAAAGGAGCAGTATTTTTTACCTAGCATTTGATGATGAGGTTGTTGGGAAATCAGCATAGAAGTCTTGGTGTGCTTCCAACCAGTCATTGTAGTGGATATCAGTACCCTGTCTACCACTTCAGAGGTTCAGTTTGACCTCTGTTGTCCTTGTGGTGGTTTAGAGACTTCCTATCGTTACTGGGGTTTCGTTTAGCCAAGGAGAGCTGGTTCTACCTAAATGTTTGATGCCTGACTCTTCTGTGGCAGGCAAACTAAAATCTGCAGCCAGTAACCCAAGTCTCAGGAATGACCCCAGAAGCGCGGCGCTCCTAAGCAGCCCATAGTAAATCCTCCGCAGGAAGCAGAAGTAATTCATCCAGAATGAGCTTTCCATTCCCAGCTTCTGTGCATAGGGGTTAGCAAGTAACAGAAAGGAAAAGAATAATTTTGTGAGGGACCATAAGGAGAAAACAAAAGTATTAGAAACCAGCCTTTTCCTTTCAAATGTGCATGTATAAATTGTTGTTTAAATGTATGTTGGTGACTGCAAGTCTAACAAAGCTTCTGTTTCAATTCTTGATTTTTCTACCCACTCCTTTTCCAGTTTCCGAGTCGGATAAGTCACAGCTGCTCCTCGTTCTTTCAGGATTTTCTAATTTTAGATTCTAGTGTATCTTAATCTCACATGACATAACAGTAGGCGTATGTGGCATTGCATATTATTCTTGCGTATTTAATGTGCTTCGATCAGAGCAGTAGAAAGCATCTGACTTGGTCTTATGTTGGCTGGGTTGCTTTTTCCTTCATTTTTTTGAGTTTTATGTCTTATTTTAAAATACCAAGACATAAAGGAACCTATTGTAGCAAGCATTTAGCTGCAAAGTAGTTTTACTGAAAAGTTTCCTGGAGCCTTTATTGTTTCTATTCACACTCATAAATAAAGGGTCCATATTTTAGCTCTACTTCTACTTGTAAAGCTCTGCAAAATAAATGCTCTCTACAAATGTCTGACATAAGCAGCTTCAAAAGATTTAAAACTTGCTCTGTCTCATTTATTGACTGGACTCCACTCCTTGCCTGTGTGGAAACTAAGAGCAGTGTATTTGCTCTGCCTGGGAGTGAATTTGCAGCCTGGGGTGTGCTGTGACTGCCAAAAGCAAAATGCCAAGCGTTAGAAATGACAATCAGCCAGCAGCAGGAATAAACAAACAAGTCTACACAAACTGGCAAGCAGGGAAGTATGGGAGGCGAGAACACCCTTTAACGTGAGAGCAGTTAAATGTATTATACAACCTGCATAAAGATGCTTTTCCTTACTCAGCTTATTGGATGCTCCTCCTTACTCAGTTAGGAACAACAACAAGAAGCCCCTAATTTCCTGGCTCTGCTGCTGACCTGTGCTTGGAGCTTGGCAGGATACTTTCTGTTTCATTTCATGTTCCCCCCCCAAATGTGAAAATGAAGATAATGCCCTAGTGCTATTGTAGACAAGGTTCTTTGGGTACATCTGATATGTATTGAAATCTTCAAGTGGAGAGGAGTATGCCTCCTCATATTCTAGTTAATCTAACCTAAGCATTACTATTTATAAATATACAGGCCTAAGTGGCTGGCCAGTTGCTTTGGTCCCTGGGAGGGGTTTCCCTGCGCCCCTTGGTCTAGCATAGTGAATAAACATTCAAGATCTGGTATCTGGTGCTATTTCATATGCTCAGTTAACCGTGTATTTCAGTAGTAACAGTGGAAACACATAAAATACAGAGATTTACAAAAGGGCTTGTATGTTTACGTAAGAGCTTAGTTTAGAAAAAGTACAGCCAGTCTGAAAAATATAGAAGCCAGAAAGAAAATCTGATTTATTGTGGATTGACTTGAGAATGCTGTGTAATGTGAATTAAAGCACAAGACATCTGCTTAGGATGCTTTGGGCCCTGTTTCCTCTTCTGAAGCCATAGAGTGTCATTCTTTAAATCTGCTGCAGATTAAACGGTGCATTTGGAACGGTGTGTCCTTCCCCAAGATGGAATACAGAGAAAATGCAAAGAGGAAATCCTGCCCTTCTTTGAGCATATGGCCAAGAGAGTATGGCATAACCCTTGTTCACTCCTAGTTGAAATGATACTCCATAATCTCCTGCCTTTCGTTTTGCGTGGGCGGTCTGTTCTTCACTCTGAGCCTCAACATAGGTGGAAAAGCAGGTGTGGTACATTGTTTAGCTTCTAGCTTTTAATGCTTTTGCATTCCCTTTTATAACAGGTGATGTCATTGTAGACATAAATGGCAGCTGCGTCCTTGGCCATACCCATGCAGATGTTGTCCAGATGTTTCAGCTAGTTCCTGTCAACCAGTATGTCAACATGACTTTGTGTCGAGGTTACCCTCTTCCCGATGACAACGAAGACCCTGTTGTGGACATTGTTACGGCTACACCTGTCATCAACGGCCAGCCAGGAGAAGTATGTGTCACCAGCCAAGATCTGATACCAGGAACAGTTGTTTTGGACCAGAACGGGAAACCAGGTCATACTTTGGCCAATGGTCGTGTGAACGGCCCTACCATGGACCCAAATGAGCAGAGGGTCTCAGTAGCTTCGTCAGGGGGTTCTCAGCCGGAGCTCGTCACCATTCCTCTGGTCAAGGGCCCTAAAGGATTTGGGTTTGCGATTGCAGACAGTCCCACGGGGCAAAAGGTGAAGATGATTTTAGACAGTCAGTGGTGCCAGGGCCTCCAGAAGGGAGATGTGATCAAAGAGATTTGCCATCAGAACGTGCAGAGTTTGACACACCTGCAGGTTGTGGAGGTCCTGAAGCAGTTCCCGGTGGGAGCAGAGGTGCCACTGCTTATCGTAAGAGGAGGTGGGTAAAAGTGTGAGTAGACCTGTGATCATTTACTTGCCCCAAAACATGGGCCTTTTTATTGCGGTCATCTAACCACTGCCTTGGGAGCCTTAGGAATGGCAGCAGTAAAGTTGGTTCTCCACCTTGCTCCAAGTGCCCTTGGCCTTGAGCCTGTCATCAGTTGTATGTGAGTCCGGAGGTTTGATTGTGAGCTGCTGTTGAATGCACCGTCTATCCTGGCGCTTTGGCAGAGGTGACCTGATGATAAGGGATGGAGCTGTTTTCCCTTTCGGGGGGGATTTCGGCAGCACTGTCTGTACAGGGCAGATGAACCCAGGTGCCGGGAGGGCTCCTGAAGAAGCAGTGGCTTGTGAAATGCAATGGGCCTGGCCATCTGGAAATCTTTGAAAAACTTTCATTTTTGCATATATTTATATCCCTAATTGCCCTTCATTGCAGATCAAAATGTCTCCTTTCCCCATAGACTAGCTGGTAATTAGTGTGCTTTTGCCAGAAGGTACAGTCTCATCCATGCTAGAGGATCCTTTCTTTTCGGCTTCCTGGCTATTAATGAGCTCGCTGGTATTCTCCGCAACTCAATTTTCTCCCAATTTTTATATCTTTCTGTTTAATGCCTGAAAATATTTAGATTGGTAATATTAGTAGTGACCTTCTACTTAGGATATTGTTTTTTCATTAGTATCAGATACCTTGTGGATGTTATCTCCCCTTTTTGTTGCTGGGACAAAAGGAAACGGGCACAGGCTGTGTTACTGGAGGTCGCCAGAGTGGTTGTCAGCTGTGTGCACCATGTAATCATGTAATCCCAACCCACAAACTAATAATCCCTTCTGAAGACATCTGCAAGATGGTAACGGTAGTCATACTCAGCATTTATAAAAGCCCGTTTTTCCAAGCACTTCAGAATACTTCATTATCCATAATGATGACTCCTACATTAACCTTTTTGCTCCCCACATCTGAATAAACTGAAATACTGGAGTTAGCGATTTATCCCAGGGCTTACCACAAGCCTACTTCCTTGATGAGTTTCCCTCTGTTCAATACTGATCGCCTGTTATCCGATGCGCTCTATATTGGATGCAGGAGACCAGCTAAAGTTGCATCTTCTCTGTGCTGAGGCAGAATCAAGTGAAAAGTCATCTTTTTTTAAGTGCTGGGAAGGGAGAACTCAGCTCAGCTCTGGCTCCTTCTGCGCTAGCAGTAGCTCATGGAAAAAGCCTAGATGATCAGCTGGCTTTTCAAGAGCCAGCTGGCTCAAGTATCAGGCTCAGCTGGGAGGGGTCAGATGATTCCCATAAAGGGTTGAGATTATTTGGGGTGGGAGAAGGAAGCTACAGTTCTGAAGCTGTCTCCCGTGATAGGCCTTGTGGCACAAAGGTGCAAGGGGATTTTGTGGCATTGCTGCCTGCTTTGCTCAGGCACCAGCTTTGTCTTGTGTTTGAATGGCATGCTGAGCCCTGAGGAAAAAAAGGGCCTGAGCCAGACTCTTGGTTTGGTGCGAGCGCTTTCTGGACCGGGCAGATGGGCTGGCGACACAAGTGCTCTGTGCTGAGAGACCGCACCGTTGCTGTTAGCACTTGCACCTCCCATGAAGCACCGGTAGCATTGGCTGGGACACTGTCTGCCAACTCTGGAAAAGTGACGCTTGGGTTAGATGCAGAAACACGCATGCCTGGTGCGCAGTAATGCAGCTGTCGAGGGAAAGGAACCGAATTGGCAAGGCCTGGTTCCAAACTCAGGAAGTAAACGATGGACCCTGGTCAGGCCCTCCAAGAGCAAGCCTGACTTCATATCGCCACTGCCCTTTGTTAATGCGTGCCTGCCAGGCTTCAGCATGGCCGAGTCTTGTCGCCAACTACCTCTGGTTTGCTGAGCAAAGCGAACTTCCTCGGAGCCCCTTCCTGCTGCCGGCAAACCAAGCTGTAGCTGCCTGAGTGCTCCCGTCTCCAGCCTGGACTCTCAGTATCTGGCAGCAGGAGAAATGCGTGGGGTTTCAGCACAGTGCTGTTAGTTACTGTTTAGGGGCCTTCTGCCAGGCAGCGTTGTTGGCCAAGTAAATATTTGCTTAAAGTCTTAAAGGAATATTGGAACCTATTGCAAACCTTAAACTGTATTGCGGAGGGCGAGGGAGCAGTGGTCAGAAGAATAGGAGCTGAGTGTTTCAGATCTGTGCAGCATAAAGCAGCCTTGGTTTCTAATGCCCAAGCTTACATCTCGTATTCAGATATTTTCCTCTGTTTTTTTTTTTAGGTCCCCCATCACCTACTAAAGCTGCCAAAGTGGTGAGTATTGATGTTGTCTGGGTGATGATGACGGTAATATTTACTGCACTTGTTGCTGGTTGAGAGGATGGATTTTTCAGTTGCAAACGAGCTCATAAATCCCCAGGGCCTGCTTGATGTGGAAGCCCTTCCCCATCCCTTTTTGTCCTCCAGCTGGTGCATATTCAGGCACAGCCCCCCCTCCAAGTGCCAGACAAGCATGGCTGATTTTTGCAGGGTGCACAGAGCTGTCCCAAAGCTGCCTGTGGCTGTTAGTCCAGGTACAGTTTGCTGCGGATTTTGCAAACTGCTTAGATCAAGGTGGTGTTTATTATCTTTGCATTGGTGCAAGGATAATTTTTTTTTTCAAAATGCTGCAGTCTCTTTAGTCACGTGGCATCTCCAGCGTGTCTGCTGCCGCTCTCTTGGGCTTGTGGCAGCAAGTGAGATCAGTCCGAGGGTCACGATCTGCACTCCTTCCGTCTGAGACATGATACAGCTCCACAGCTCTGGCAACGGGGAGGGATGCTGCCCTATGTGTCCTGTCTAAAAGCGCAGATAACCTGACTGTGGTAGCTAGAAGATGCTAAGAAATAGCAAGAAGATAACAAGCCAGGAAGCACAGTCGCCCTGTGCATGCTGAGGAGCCCCCTCAGGAGCTGTGGTTCTCAAACACTGTGGGGCTGCATGCTCCTTCCTAAGCCTGCTCCCTCATTTGAACAATTAACCCTGATACTAAATGACGATTAATATTTTTTAAAGAGCCTGCCCTTCCAGCTGCTCTACTGTCTCACCAGCAGCTAAGAAAACTGGAGAGCTGGTCTTCCTCTTCCTCCCTGTGCATGTCCTCTTTCTTTCCTTCTGGTTCCCCATTCCTTCGGGTCCAAACCACCAGGCTACACAAAGCTTGGGATGCTGCTCTACTGAAACTGTCCCTTCCAGGAGGGACCAAGTCCCTTGTGCATCATATTCCAAAGCAGAAGCCACGGCCAGGATTAGTGTTGCGGGGAAGAGCAGACAAGTTCGAAGACCTTGGTTGTGAAGGGACAGGTCGTGTTTTTGGCCATCAGGTAAACACCACCCTGCAACTGTTCCCTTCATGACCACGATTCAGGAAACAGCACCCCACCCCAGATCCTGTCCTTTTAAAAAAAAATATGGATTTGATTTGATATCACCTCGTGTGTATGCCTTATTCCAGTTTCAGAACCCCGATCTCAGTCCCTGCGGCCATCTGCAATGATTATTTTTTATTAAAGTGTTTCCTATTTAAATCCAATATCCAGCTCTGTCTGGCTGATGCATTAATTTGCCTGTGCAAAGTCTTCCAGAATGGGTATTACAAGGAAAAACACACTGTTTCATTATTCTGTTGCTAATTACCTATATCGGGTCTTTAGAGTTTCCTTCTGAAAGTTTATATTTCATCTCTGTGGGAGAATATTATATTGATGGTAAGAAACCTCAAAAAACCAAACAGCTCAGCATTCCCTTCTTAAGCACCATTAGCACCAAGTGTTAAAGTGGGCAATAAATACGATCTCTTAGTTGTCATGTCTCAGTATTCTGACAGCGTCATTTCTGGGAAAGATCAGACCCCTAGGAGTATCTTTGATTTAAATTTGACTTGCTGGAAAGAAAAGTCTACATTGATTAAGTGCGCCTGAGGTTAAAAAAATAAAGGTGGTTGGTTGAGATCTATATATATATTGTATTATAAGAGACTGTTTTTAGGCATAGGTTTTGTTGCAGTCCATCTGTGCCTTTCTAATAGAAAGAAAGACTTTAGGAATTGAGTAATTTCTTCAAGAAGAACATGTGTGCATCGCAGTTCGCTGCAGTTTAGCAAAGTCCATTTCCTCAGTATAGGAGTAAATTCTTCCTTGGCCATAGTCAAACTGAGCAAGTACGGTAATGCATTTCCAAGCCGAAGCCAGGGCTGTGGGATAATGTAAGCATGGTAACTCTTCGCATTTGAAACAGCCTATTCTGTGGAAAGTTGCAGATCTTGACTTGTAAGAAGAAATATAGCTGCTAAAAATTCACTGACTAAAGCTGTGCTGCTTCAGAATGCATCAGTCATGTCAGCGTGGCTGCTGCACCAACACGCGTTGTGTGAGCCTGCTAAAAATACCCGGGAAACGACAGTGCAGCCGTGTGCAGTAACAGCTTCCCTAGACAAAACCTGATGCTCAGTGGCTTCAATCTGCACCATGAGCTAATTCAGTTAGAAAAGAGCAAGGTCTTGGGTTTATAAACGTGCAAAAAGTGTCAAACTTCTAAACCCTTGGGGGGTCTTACTTGTGCTCTCAAAAGGGCAGACCTAAATTTGTTCCAGTGTTGTTCATATTAAACATGCACATTGCTGCATGAGGACTTTCCACGCTGGGTTTCAGCCCAAAGCAAGCATTTGAAGTCATGCTACATAAAGCTTAGAAATGAAGATTTGAATCCACAGAGATTTCCTTTTACTTGGAAGAGTCAGAGCAATCCTGACAGGTTAGAAATAACATGGTTTGATTCTGAAGACTAAGTGCTTGTTTATAGGGCAGTCTAGAAACACAGAGTTACACAGACTTGCTCACGCTGTGGGCCTAAGCCACCGCCCGCTGTGTCTCCAGGTCCTGAACAGGTGCAGCAGAGGCCTGTCGTGTAGGGAATGGATCTCTTGCTTCAAAAGACTGGGCTGGATCAGAGCAGATTACTCTGGTGTGCCAGGCATTGCAGCTGTCTCTAGGGGTCTTTCCTCTGTACTGCTCGTACACACCTGCTAACCCAGTTCAGGCACCACTTTTGACCTGACAGTGGATTTCCACTTTCAACTGTGGATTCTGCTCCTTTTGGTTTCAGAAGACAGATAAGCAGGAGAACTTGGGAAGCTTGGAAGTCATCAGTGATGCCGTTCCGCAGCCGATGCCTTTCCCACCCGCTGCTGTACGGTCAGGCTCTCCAAAACTAGACCCTTCTGAAGTCTACCTAAAGTCTAAGACCATATTTGAAGACAAGCGTAAGTACATGGACTTCATAGGGGAACGTGCAATAGCACAGCAATACACGGATATTTTCTTGATTTCATTTGCTAAGTAAAAATATTGGCAATGCATATTCAAGGGGTCTCATGTACAGCAGTTAGGGAACTGTGGGTGATTTCCACAAAAGGAAAATCTGTTGGTGTTCTTCTGCCAGGTGCCTTGCTCTAGTAGTCAGTTGCTCTTGTCCATGTACAGACACAAGTCATTACACTGATGCACCTCGGGGTGCATTCAGGAAGAGCAGGAGATGAAAAGACCAGTGATTGAGTAATTGCTTAAACCTTTCATTTAACATCACAGCCCAGCACTCTGGCTATTTACTAATGAAGACTGATGATCAGTTAATGAAAGCAGGTGTAAATATATGTTAGTGCTTTGCTGTGGTATTTCAATGTGAGGGTGTACACTGGATGAACAAAAGCCATTTGTCCTGCAGGTGTGCCACCTTACATAGACCCTCCCTCTGGAAATGGTAGGGGTTCAAGTGCCCCCATCAGTGAATGATTGCGAGTAGGATTTTATAGTCATTAAGCAGAGGGGTTCTGTGGCGGCAGCGTGGAAGGGGAAGGTCAGTGAAGTGTCCCCAAGAGGCTTGGTCCTCGGGGAACTTGTGACCTGTGAATTTCCCCTGTAGGCTAACGTGCTCCCTAATATGGCATCTCAGCCACACGTAAGGCATTCAATGAAAATGCTGTAAACCTGCTGCTAATGGTGTCGGCAGTGTTCGTCTAAAAGGTTGGTTCTGGGTAAGGCCCAAACATTGCAGATGCAGTGCAAGCAAACACAGCTTCCTCCTTCAAGGCAGATGGCCTGCAGCCTGGCACATCTGTGCATCATCTCCACTCGATGCACTGCTGCCTCCCTCGGCTTCATCTCGGTAGAGCTGACTTAAGTGTAAATAGCATTAACATTCTCCCCCACGAACACATTGCCCAGCAATAGATTTCATCCATGAAATAGGAAAGCAGCAGCCCGCTTTGCTGCTGTTGACCTAGTTGTGTTATGTAACTGCCATCAAGATTTTATTAGACTGTTTAATTTCCATTCTTGCTATCAGCACTTTTTTATAATTTTGCAAATACAAGCATCAGTAATAGAACAGCCCAGTTAGGATACTTTATAAGTTTAAGGAGCATTTTGCTGATATTTGAATTGACTTCAGCTACAGGCAAGATTTATGTGCAGTTGCAACATAACAAAACTACTATTACAGTTAAAAAAAAAAAAAAAAAAAAAAATCCCATTATTTCTCCACTGAAACCAAGCGATCATGCAACAACCCTGGAGCAGAATAAAACAAACCTAGGCAAATCCATAATTTAGCATATTCAAAGTGATGCCATTTGAATGGACCGTATGATAAGAAAGTCACATCTCCATTGCATCCCACCCTGTCTGAAATGACGAGAGGTGGACTCCACCCAGCTTTTGTAGCACTAATTTGAGGGGCTGTCCAGCTCCAAACTGCTCTCATTCTAAAAGGTTGTAATAAAATAGGCAGTTCAAGTACTTGCTGAATACAGGCCTTTCTGACGTACTGTAGAGCACCCTGCAGTCCTGGCCCAACATTCAAGCACCATGAGAGAAAGGGATTTGTTCCCTGTGAGATGCTAATGGAACAAATAATGACATTTGCAGCTGTTTTTAATACATCCTCATCACACGTTTTAAGAGCACTTAACTGAGGACTTGCTGTTTCTTGCTCTTTCATTCTAATCAGCGTGTTGTGTCTACAGAAAGCTGCCAGCTTAGGACCGCCTGCATGACTGCTCTGACTAAATAAAGTATAAGCCCCTATTTACCTCTCTTAATAAATGTAACAAATTATGCACTTTTATATTATTTTGTCTTAGCTCCAAACACAAAGGATTTGGATGTTTTCCTTCGGAAACAGGAATCTGGTTTTGGCTTCCGGGTGCTTGGGGGAGACGGACCTGACCAGCCAGTAAGTGCATTAACTCACCTGTTTCTTTGACTTTGTCAGTCTGTGCTGTCAGTCGTGAAAAGCTGCGTTCTCCCTGTTTAGTGGCTAGGTTTTATTTATTTCCACGCCCATCTCAACAGGGTATGGGTTTGCCGCTTGTGCGCTGAGCAGGTCCAGGATGTGTGTGTGCTGCTTCAGACGCTATGGAGGGTCGCTGATGGGCAGTTGATGGCCAATTATGAGACTGGAAGGCAAGGATGGTTTGACCCAGTCTTCAAGGATCCTGGAGGGATTGGCATGCTCGAGTGATCCTTGGGAAATGATGAGGGAAAACATTTGTTCACAATAACTTGGGGCAATATCTCATGTGTTTCCATGCCACAAAAGCTGCAAAGTCACTTCTCATGTGGAATATTCAAGCCGTGACCAGCCTTGTAGACTTGTGGAAGGGAGAAGGAGCCAGTTCAGCGGCTGCCCTCCACAGAGAGAGGGGCTTTAGCTGAGGTAACTTGTCTGTACTGGAAGAGGCATTGTGAGACTCAAGCTCCAAAAAAAGGAAGAAAGCCCCATTTTCTAGCATGAAAAGAAAATCGCCAGAAGTACTTGAGTCACTGGATGTTGCAGCTGCACTGGTGTGAGCAGTAAAAATACTTGGCGCACAGATTAATTGTCCTGCCCATGTGTTCACTGATCAGTCGCCGAAGGCAGCACGTGGAGGCTTTCTGGACCATGACTGGGATTCTCCTTGCGGGAATCATGGGAATAAAAGGGGAAAGGGGCCCCCTGGATGAACACACCCGGGTGTGAGACAGCGAGACCCCTTAGCCCTCCACGTAGCAGGTTCTTGGTGGGAGTGTGCCCCGCCTAGCGCTCGGCCACCCCAGGTTTCCAGGGCCGCGGTCCCAGTGACGGTGGTGGGGTGGATCCGGCTGCTGCCGTCTCAGGGAGATGACTGGGTGCGAAGGTCCTTGGTGTATGTTGTGCGAGACCAGGGCAGCGGGACGGCGTCAGCTGAGCACCGACTGAACTGCAAAGGGAGGAGGAGATGAAGCAGCTGAGTGCCTGCCTTCCTTCCCTCTTGCTGGTGGACAGCAGTCCCTCGGGCTCCTGCTCTTTTACTGTTTGCCCAGAGTCTTGGTAGCAACAGGGTCTCCATGAGGGGTGTAATCCAGGCCCTTGTTTTCTGTACGTGCTCTGTCCTGGGAATGCTCTAAAAGATGATGTTGGCACCAGGTCTTTGCACCTGATTCTGTTAATGGGATCAGCACCGACACCCTCTGGCAGTGCTACTTAACCCTTCCCAGCAATTTAGCTAGATGCTAGATGACTGAAGGAACCCTCCGCCCACCCCGGGAGAGTCACCTTGGCACTCCGCACTGCCTCTGCTGCCGTGTCTTGCAGCGGGGCTCGGTAGCACAAGAAGTTAAATGCATCTGAGAAGTGGCACAACCTGTCCTCGTGACTGAAGCAGCAGCCTTGGTGTCTCCTCTGCTAACCTGGTGCATATAAAGAGTAGGGGCCCTCCCTAGGGGTCTCCACTGTGCTGCCAGGGAAGTGGCAGATCAGCGCACAAGCCCTGCCTCTTGCAGCTCGGGGGTGCGGGGTTCTGGCTGGCACAGAACGGCCCCTCCTCGCAGCCCCCAGCCCTCTGCAATCCCAAGCAAGCCCTGGCACATTCCCTACAGGGACACGGGGGCCTGTCCCCGGCCCGGCTGTGCACTTGCTTCTCATTTCTCATCTGCTCAAAATGTGGAGTGTGTGGAAGAAGAGTGAGCCAGGAGCCTGCTGAGGGTGGGGCAGCCCTGCGCGTGGACTTCGGGGGCTGTTTCGTATTTGGACCGCCACCTCTGTGAGTGGAAGAAAGCATGATGGCAGCTGGCCATTTCTCTGCTGGAGGCAGGAAGTCAGCTGGGGTTCAGAGTCACCCCTGAAACAAGGGTTTCCAGCCCTGGTTTCCAGCACTGTCACAGTGTGGCTCAGTCAGCGGCTTCTGCTCGAGAAGGCCTGACACTCCGGGCACAGGGGCTAGCACAGAAGCAGACCAGGAGGTGCCTGCTCACAGCACACCTGGCTTTAGGAGTCCACCCCATTTCTCACTTCCCAAGTGCAGATTCACCCAAAAAGGCAGAATTTGGTCCCAGGCCATATGGTAGTGATGGCTCCTGCCCGAGACGTGCTGAAGCTTCCAGGAGAGGCACTGAGAGATGGTCATCTGGGTGGAGGATAAAAGGAGGTGCCGTCTCTATTTGCATGCATGATCCACAGCCAGGTTGTTTTCCTGCGGGCATTGAGGGAAGAGCAGGCTGTGTGTCTTTGCTACAAGAAATACACAATTTTACCATTTTTATTGCATTTTACCATTGCGTTGCTATAGCAACAACAGCTGTGTTGGTAACAGCTTGAGCAGGGCCCCGAGTGCATTGCAAGAGTTTGGATGACTCTGCTCTCTGCTGTTTAACCTTAGACACCTGCTGCCTGTAATAGTTCTTGATCTTGCATTTAAACTGAGCGTTGTTTCTAGCATGCAAAATGCTGCGTCTCCTGCTCTGCTTTGCATTTAGATGGTGTTTGCTTGGGGTGAAAGGGCAGGGGACTGAGGGCTGCCAGTGTCTGAATTCAGGCTTAGGTGCCCAGCACCTGTGTGTGGTTCTGTGCATGTGTCCGTCTAAGCAGCTTTCCACTGTGGCACTTAGGTACTTTTCTGTGCTTTTACTCCCCCTGCCTCCGACCTGTCTCAGCAAAGATAACGTCTTTGCTGTGTTGATTGAACAGAGGCATTTGCTTTTGGTGATTTGCACATTTTTTTGGTACCAATAACAAATACATAGTGCATGAATAGGATCAACAGCAAGACAATTATTTAGCAGATAAATGTACAAAGACAGCTCTTGACCCACTCACAGGGCATTGACACTTCATTAGATGACTAAAATTTGAGTAATAAAAGCAAACTTTAAAATATGGTGAACAATAAGTATGGCTAGTAGATGTCCCAGACGGTTACAGTATGATCATTTCTGCACATGCAAATGATCCCAGCTGTTGTGGCTTCTGCCTGTTTCTGCTGTAATTAATTAGATGGGGAAAGCATTTTTCTCCCAGGAAGGCCTGCAAAACGTCCTTGTTTTTAGGAGATGCCTGATTAACTGTAAGCCTGAACTGTTCTGCTGTGTTCATGTTTCAAAGCCCACGTGTGCTGATTGTGCTTTGTTGCCAGATATATATTGGAGCCATCATCCCGCTGGGGGCAGCAGAGAAAGACGGAAGACTCCGAGCTGCAGATGAGCTCATGTGCATCGATGGCATCCCCATCAAAGGGAAGTCGCACAAGCAGGTCTTGGACTTGATGACCAGTGCTGCACGGAACGGCCAAGTGCTACTTACTGTCCGGAGGAAGATCTTTTTTGGCGGTATGTGCACATGCTGGGAGCAGAGCCAGTTGCGATGCATTTGCCAGTCTGGCAGCCTGGCCCGGGATGCCTTGTGCTGAGCCTTTCTGCTCCCATGCATAGCTGTAGAGGAGTGTGGTGGGAAGGAAGTAGTGACCTTCTAAACTCAGGCTGTCACTGTCACTCCTGGACAAGCAGGGGAATTGAGTGAGAAGGGCTCTGCGTGGGAAGAGGCTGTAAATGAGGTGCCCAACTGTTCCCCTTGGCTGCAAAGGGCTCCGCGGTGCTGGCCTGTAATTTTCACTGAAGGATCCAGAGTCACTTTATGAGCAATGGGTGTTATGGCCATTTGGGGCCTGTTAGCTTCAGGCAGCAACACACACCTGCTTTCTGCATTGCAGTGTGCTGCGTTCTGAGCTCTGCTTGCACTGGAAAACCCAGTGGTCTCAGTGCACCCAAAATTATAGGTGTTGGTTTCATTAAATGCAGAAATTAATAAGAAACTCAGTGGTGTGTTCTGCAGGAAGTAGAAGAGCCATGGGATGGATAGATATGGAAACCAAGGCACAGGAAGTTTGACATTGGCTGACATGTCACCAACCACATCAGTGACAGAGTTAGGGCTGAACCCCAGCACTCGTGGTGGCCACAGTCCCCATTCCAAATGGTAGATGCTGCTGCCTGTCAGTGACACCAGTCAGCCATGGATGCCCAAGCCATTCTTTTATAGCCGTTGTAGAATGGAAAGCACAGCCTCTCAGGCTGTCTCATGAAGATGGGTGGCAGTGTGGACTGCCACCCGTCTTCATGAGACAGCCTGAGAGGCCACCCTCCTGGGCTGACCCTGGGCTGGGAGTCCAGAAGGTCCTGAATTCACATCCCAGTCCTGTCCCTGACACGCTGCATTCCTGCCATCTCATTCACCATACCTCCCGCATGGCTTATGTGCCTTTGTATGGCCGCTGACATGTAGAAACCAATCTGTGTTGTGGTGCCGCTGGACGCAGCAAGGAAAGCAGCCAAGCCAGGAGCGGCTGGTTGCTCCAGTCAGGCTGCTGCTATGCCACAGTATCCACACCCTCCTGTATCTGCATGTCGACTGCAGGTGTTATGTGTGCCTTCCTCACTTCCCATTTCTGGGAGAGCATTAAATGGGTCTTAATGAGCTGATGCTTACGCATGTGCTGTGCCGTGCTGCTGGCCGTACACTTCAAGCTCCTTTGGAGTAAACCCTTAGCCTTCTGCAGCGAGACCTGCGAGAGCTCTGCCTTGCGGCTGGATCTCTGCTGTAAGGCCTCATGCTTAGTGCATCCAGGAGGTGAGAAGGCCTCAGCGAGGAAAGTCTCCAGGACGTCAGGTGTGCCGTACAACCACGGCCCTGTTCCAGGTTACTGGGTGGAGCTGGCAGGCAGTGCTGTCTCCCATCTCGCATGCAGGCCCTTCTCTCACGGCCAGGCTGAATGTGTGGGTTAGTCTTCCAAAGTTTCACCGCCATCTCTGCTCGGTTGCATTAGTAGTAACCTGCCTATGCAGTCCCAGACAGAAAGGTGCTTCCTGAGCCTGTTACTGAGCTCCTTGCAGTTACCCAGTCCATTGGCAGTGCTCGTGATCACACCTCTGGCCGTGGCTCTTCCTTTTGTAGGAGAAAAGCAGCTGGAAGAGGAGGAGTCGCAGCCACCCAGCGCCACGCAGAATGGGTCCCCCCGATTGAATCGGACGGAGATCACAAGTCGGCCATCCCCAGAGGTCTATGATGTCCGGCTGCAGCGGAAGGAGAATGAAGGCTTTGGCTTTGTCATCCTTACCTCGAAAAACAAACCACCTCCTGGCGGTAAGAGCACAATCCCTGTGTGGCATTGTCGTCTGCACCACTGGGCCTGTCTGGGGCAGAGGAGCTGGTTTAACTCAGTTCCTGCCTTGTGGTTCCTGCCAGGGGCGTTCAGGGCCATGGATTCGAGAGATTCTGCTGTCTCTGGATAACGGTCATCTTCCCTGTTTAGCAGCTTGTGTGGTGCAGACCTGTTTCACCCAGGACGTGCTGTTTACAGCTTCACAGGCTGAAGGCTAGGTCTGTCTGACTTGCAGAAGTGAATGTGCTTCCTCGCCTTTGTAGACTGTGTTGCAGGTTGTGCTTATATAACACCTGAGGGGGAGGAGGAATCATTCCTAACCAGTACAGGGAAGGGACTGAGATGCACGCATCCTTGTGGGGTTATAGTGTTCAGAACACGGGAAGTGCCCACGTTGGGTCAAAGCATGTAGGACAGTGTACACACATGCCCACAGATCTAGCACTCTCCTGAGATTGGTGCCAGTAGATTAGATCCGCTGGTGAGTTATTAATTCATAGGCAAATCTCGTGCCCCAAGCTTAGTTTGGCTTGCTCCATGAGGGCAAGTAGCTCACTGTGGAGGACCCTGGCTTTCTCAGCAGTCTGTATGTGGAGAAATGTAGCAAAGCTGCTATCACTGGGAGTCGTTCTGGCTCTGCAAGAGACATGTTAAAAGCACAGTAGCGATCGATGCAGCAGGTCTCTGGGTTCTGGTGAAGGCCTGGGTGCTAAGATGCAAAGCAGAGCAATCCAGGTTAAAAGCGAAAACAAGAGGGCACATTGTAAGCAGAAATGAGTGAGAGCAGCTATTTGAGGGGAGCCTCTGAAATCCAGCCCAGCTAATGGCAGGGTCTGCAGCCCCTCGCCCCAGGGGCCTTACAAAGAGATACCCGTTGCACAGCATCAGGCATGTTCTGCCCCGTGTGTCAGCACAGCTGCCAGAGTCCCAGGGCTGTGCAAGCAGAGAGGGTTAAACGTGTCCTCCGTCGACAGCAGCGCCAGCCTCTCGCACGCCACACGTAGCTGATACCGGGTAGTCACAGCTCAACAGGACTGAAGCCGCTGGCTGGGATTGATCCCGCTAGTGAGATCTGGAGAGACGGAGGGGGTCTCCTCAGTCTGAGGGAGTGGGGGGCTCTCAGCAGTGCTGTCCCGGGTGATGCAGAAGCACCGTTAGCCAGCTTGGCAGGCTCGCCCGGGGCTCAGGCGTCTCTGTCTTTTCACATGTGCATGAGTGCAAAGGGACCTCTCCCCTTTTGACCCAGTCCTTTCACTCTGCCTTCCCTTTGCTTCATTTTATAATGCGGTTAAAAACAGCAGAGCACAAGTGGAGCTGTGTCTCAGCAACCCCTTCTGCAGTCATTCTGCTGGGTCTACGCGACGCTCGTTTAGAGCGGGGGTGAAGTCTGGGCCCTGACGGGACCGTGCCTTTTGTTTAATGAAGTTCAGAACAAACGTGGTGGAAAGCTCCCTGTCCCCACAGCTGTGACGGGGCGAGAGCCCGCAGAGCTGTGCGTTACCGCGGCGGGGCTGGGTCGGTGCGCAGGGACGCCGACTTCCGTCTCATAAAAGCAGTTGCTATGGTAACACTTGAGCCCGGAGCTGTCACCTTCTGATGCCGTGCGGGTGCTTGTGCCCTGTGTGGAAAAAGCAGCTCGATAGGTTGGTTTTGTGCTGCCTAGTCAGCCAGATAATATTGCAGAAATGCAGTTGTTAAAAAATTGGAGGAACTCTACCCACATAATCCGGACACTGTATCACACAGAGCAGTCTTGTCAGAAACCCAGCTTGAAATTCCTCCAGTCACTTGCTGTTGCAGCTTGCAGTAGTCTTTATGGGGAATAGCAGAAGATAATTGAAGCCCTATTTCAACCTTGGGGTGGCTTGGGTAGCAGTCCTGGGCTGCTTCTCAGGCTTGTAAATAAGCAGCATTGGTACATCAGTGTGCCGCACACAGGGACTTTCCTGTCACCATTTAAAATGAACCCATGGCGTTGATGCAAAGCTGGAATATTTATGCCAGGTAATTCAGTAACAGCCATGTAGCATTTTTCCTCCACAGATACCTCTTGTGTGTATAAACGATATTAAAAACATAGATCTTTACACGATGGGAGAAGAGATGAAAGAAAATGTAATTAAACCTTAATATGGAGGTAAAAGCTAAAGAGCATCCGTGTCCGCTCTTGTCGAGCAGGTAACAGGCAATGGTTAGCTCCTTAATTACAAGCTGAATGGTAATTTAATCTCAACCTGGTGACAGCCCTCAAAGGTTTGGGACTTGCTGTCATGCCTTGAAATGCCAGCTGATAATCTTGCTGAGTATTTAATGTTGCACACCTCTCCTTATGCCTCGTCTCCCCTTCCAACGAAGCAAGCTGGGAAGA